ACCCTGCTGGTAAGGAAGTAGTCAGTCTTGGATTAAGTATCACCCTTCAGATAGAACGGAAGGGAGAGCATAGGTCTTGCCAAAGAGGAAGTTCTTTGCTGTGATACACTCAGAATGTTTGTCACATAATCTGCTGGGGTAAAAGGTCTTCCATCTATACCACCAAACTATGAACCAGGGACATATTCATTGGCTTTCAATTCTAGGTTGGCTGCTCTAATCTTGATGAATTTAGCTATTGAACTGAGAGGCCATAATTTCCTAAGTTGAGTTCAATACCTTTTTTTCAAGCTAAGTAAAACCATCCAGGACAGTCAGAACAGTCAAAGAGCTTTCTACTGAAATATATTTAGTTTATTGAAGTAAGGCAAGGCTGTCAAAACTCCCAGCCATGGGCCGGATGTGTCATGCGCTGGCCACGCTCACCTCTGATTTAGCGAAAGGGGTGAAAATCCTGCTATGTCAAGTGACACCACTGACATCTCTCCAAAGACAACAAAGATTTGGGAATGTTCTAGGATGCTCAAAAATAGAGTTAATTTTTCTATTGGACTCTTTCAGTGGCCATGATATCTTTATCAAAGAATTCTGTGAGCTAGCCCGCTATAGAAAGCTAATCATTTTAGCTCTATAGATATTAAGAGCAGTGGGTCCATAGTTACTTTCATCTACTGACTACAAAATACAGAATTGCAGGTTCATGAGCTAGGAGGTTTTCATTATTCTTTCCAAAATTGCAAATGCCTGAAAGGTTATTCCTAGAAATTTAAAATTTTTAAATTTGCTGGATACTAGTACTATTTATTTTATAACAATGCCTTTTACTGAAGACCACTATTTAGAGTAATTACAGCAAGTCTTTCCTCTTCAAAATGTATTGAAATGTAATCTGAAAGTTACTTAAGTTCATTTGAGTTTGGAGCAAATCTGCATAATGGAGAACTGAGAAAGGTTCATAAGGCAATTTGAGTGGATGGAATTCAGTGTGTTTTAGAACTTGGATTATGGAGTGTGTAAAAATTAAAAAGGAGAGGAAGAAATCAATAACAATTCTTCACTCATTTTTCATTGGGAATTAGCACCAAGAGTCATCCTGAAACATATCTTCATATGCTTCCATTCAGTCAGAGGCTGCCAGTTTGATGCAAAGCCCATCATTCAGAAATAAATCAAACATCACTTTAAACTGAAAGCAGTGTTATATTGGCCTGCTTTTGGATGATGTGCACATTTTCCCCATGAAATGTAGTAGAACTATGGGATGTTCAAAATCAAGGTGACTCCTTAATCTGAAACTTATTATGAGCCAGCCAGTCAAGCAATTTCAAATGTAGACACCTAGAGTTTACTAACTGCAATTAGAAAAATAACTGAGTAGCAATTAGCTGGATAATTTTTTTTAATGAGACCAATTCTTCAAGATCTAAGCAAGCATGACCTATATGAATAAACAGCAGTTGGGATTTGCCACTAGTTGGGATTTGCCCTTAGTAAGCCAGACACAAACAAATCCTTTCTGAATGCCTTACTATGTTACGACTGGAGGATCAATGTGAATGTCTCCTGGGATTATAAAAGATTAATCTGCTTTTAGGATCATTTTAGAAGGACTGAATCATTTAGTTCAGGAGTGTCAAACTTGCGGCCTGCAGACTGGATGTATCACTTGCTGGCCACAGCCACTCCTGGTTTAGCGGAGGGGAAAAAAGTCACAATATGTCATGTGATGACATGATGCCGCAAGTTTGACACTCCTGATTTAGTTAATCACTAAATGAGGAAATGCTTTGAAATGATAGATCTTTAGAAGTAATTGACCTAGAAGCAACTTAACCCTTTAGAAAATAGTAGATTATTGTGCTGAAAGGTTCATAAGCATGACCATTTGACCTATCGTACCAATTATAACATGGTTTCTGTTTTTTCTCCATTTAAATATAGATTTATAACTTTTTTAAAAAAAAAATCAAGTACTAATTTTTGAACTAATCATCATTATTGGCTAAATAAGCTCTGTAATGTTAACTAACCTAGATTGCCCATAACACAATCTTCATCAAACCATGACTTGAATAAATTAACATGGGTTAGGTTTTCATATTCTTTACTGGAGCTTTATAAATTAATATTTTCTAAATTATGAAGACTATTTTATGAAATTTAAATCATACATCTCAGACATTCTTTCCATTAAAGATAAACTGGCACAACTGGGTGGCTCAAACATAGCTAAAACATTATTAAAATACTATTTCCAGGTCTTTAGATACTCTAATTTAGCATACTCATTATTGAGAGCAATTAGTCATTGATAGTAATTGTAACTTTGGGTTTAAAGCATTTTGTTCATTATCTAACTGCATACTCAAACATATAAACTAAATTGTGTTTCTTACTGTATTATCATTAAAAACTCCAGTACATATCTGAATGTTTATGCTTGCTAGAAAACATGGGAATCAAAGTCTAATAAGTTTGGAAAGAAAAATATATAGATTAACACCATATCAAATAATCAAAATTGAAGTTTTCCCTACCTGTTGTCGTTTCATTATGTGATGCAGTTCCATTGTCACGTAATGCTTCAGAATGTAGAAAACTAATGGAAATTAGTAATATTGAACAAAAATATTCCATCTTGTATCTGCCAAAGAAACAATAAATAAATAAATCTAAAACCAACATTATAGAAGTCATCTTAACAGTATAATTTCCTCACATCTATCAGAGAACTTAATTTAATGTACTTTTAGAATAAAAATGTACTCTGTCTCCGGTGGTCTTTTTACCAATTTGTCTAATTGCTAGTTCATTTGCCAGATCTAAAGACTTGTGTTGTTTCATGAAAATGTAAGAGAAAATGCTTTTTTTGCTGCTGCTCAGTTGAGCTTTTTCTTTAACCATCTTGTTTCTCCCTTTGTGAGAATCACCTTAGTCCAACTCAAAACACAATTTTCTCAGACTTCCTATTGTCTTGCTCTAGTCAATCTTCTTTCATGTATTTCTTTGATTTGTTCCTAATCATTCTGTTTACCACCTAATCACATCAACATACTTCTTCCTTAGAACATTTCATATCCTACCCTCCATCGTTCTACCAGCATTTGTTCATGAAAAAAATTATGTATTTTCCCATCTTCACTTTTCTCTCCATTCATTTTTTCTGTCAAACATGATTGTTTGATACATTAAGTACGATACTCTATACCAGGGATCCCCAGGTCGCGGGATGCCAGAAACCGGGCAGCACAAACAAGCAAAGCCCCATCCACAGTATAAAAACAGCACATGAAACCACACACACACACCCTCTGGTCCATGGAGAACCTCTCTCCACAGAACCAGTTTCTGGTGCTCACAAGTTTGGGAACCACTGCTCTACACGACCTCATTCAACATGTGTAGTATTCTCTAGAAATAATTCAAGTTCCCTTGACAAAGGAATTGTCCATATAGAAAACTATACAAATAACTCTATCTTGCTAAATTTATCTCAAACCTTGTTTTTATATTTATGAATACAAACATTTAATAGTCAAAGAGACACTGCAAATCCTTGTCATGTTCCCTGTCAGTGTTGGAATCTTTTGCTAATCATTCTCATTTTTTTTGTAAACATACCATAAACACATGCAAATAGGCATGTAGTCTCTTTCAGTCCATTATACCATTAAGCATCTTTTTTTCTTACTTCCTATTAGCATAAACCTAGACAATTGCCTGCTACTGTATAATTAATCATTCTATTCCAAGAACCATCTATATCCTTTTTTTTAAAACATCCACTTTGCATTCATTCATTTATTCTGCTGGGAAATTATTCTACTCGGTCTTTCACTTTTATATCTTTTTCTTACTTTTTTCCCTTCATAAATAAAAAAATATTCCATTTATTTAACCCAATGATCTGTCCATTTATCATCCTAATTTACCATCTTTAATGAAGGATGTTTCTCTTGCTTCATTCATTCACACTCCCACACTTACACACTTTGTAAGATGGAGAAGATGTAGTTTGGTTTCTGGCTCTAGTTATACCCATGATCAATACAACATTCCCTGATAATAATAAGGGCAGTACTGACATGTACTGGCACATTTTGATCTGCATTCCATAAGCATAATCAAACCAAACCCCAATTATAACCAACCATGATCATGCTGTTCAATGTATGCCAGAATCTAATATGGAACCTATTTTGCATATATATTATTGCCTGTATCTCACTAATTAGCAATTAGAAGGTGCATCCCATATGCTGACATTGACTCAAGAGGATTATGTTGCAGTTATAAATTATATTGCTTTAGGTTCATGGTAATGGTATATGCATTGTCTGAATACAATAGTTCTACTCCTATATGAATTAATCTTTATTAAACCTACAACGGTATTACTTAATTTGATTTCCAAACTACATCATACAAATACATGCTGTGCTTTTCAAAATATAATTGGCCAGCCAAACATAAGTGTGGTACATACCGGTAGATTCATTACTGATAGGTACATTTTGTAATCCAAGGCACTAATTATTGTAACACCCAAAAGTCGGTATTAATTATATGCTATTTTGGCTGAAGAAAAACATTCAATGCATATTTTAATAAGTATAAAATTAAACAACATATGCAAATAATAAAACTAGTTACCAGGTCCTGGAATAAATGTTTGAAAATGATCCGTGCTATCCAAGCCTACTGTTTTGCTAAATTTTATTAATACTTTCCATTTTTTCTTCAACAATTTTCAAACATAAGGCTCTCACTTTCATGCTGAAGTGTTACTATTCAGGTTTCTACACCATTTGATTGCAATAGCAATAGCACTTAGACTTGTATACCGCTTCACAGTACTTTACATCCTCTCTAAGCGGTTTACAAAGTCAGCATATTGCCCTCCAAAATCTGGGTCCTTATTTTACTGACCTCCAAAGGATGGACTGCTGAGTCAATCTTAAGCCTGGTGAGATTTGAACTGCCAAACTGCTTGCAGTGGCAGTCAGCAGAAGTAACTGCGGTACTGCATTCTAACCACAGCTCTTTCTGATTATCAATTACATTAATACAAAACAGATAGTTTGAAGAAATGTGTATAGATATAGATATATATATACACACACACACAAATATACCTACCTACCCACACACACACACACATACAGAGAGAGAGAGAGAGAGAGAGAGAAAGAGAGAGAGAGAGAGATTAAGCCACTCAAAACTTCAACAAAATAGATGCATTATCCAGCATCTATATGTTGAAGAAGCATGTGCCCATGTTTGCATTATCCCTCAGTTTAACAGTGTAGCAAACAGTGAAGCAAAGTCAATCAACAGGAGAGTGAGAAACAACAGTGGTTGTGGTTACAAATGGGATTCTTACCTTATTCAGAATGCAACTTTCATTCATTTTCACTCATTTATATGCCATCCTTTCCACCATTGTGGGTGGCTTACAGAACCACATCAATAAATTCAAACTATAAAATCAACATAAAATTATTCAGTCAGCTAGTCACCTAATAGCTAAAGCAGAAAATTATAATCTTCAGGGACAACAGCAGCTAACCTTCCTTCAACCTACTTTACAAAGATTCATTTCAAAGGGAAAAGAACAAAATCAGCACACCTACAGAGAAACCTTGCTTTTATACTGCCATTTCTCAGTCAATCCAGGAATAGAGGATCCACTAACAGACCTTCCCTAAAGCAGCGTTTGTCAACTATAACAACTTAAAGATGTGGGGGACTTTGAGGCCCAGAGTTTCCCAGCCAGCATACTTGGAGAAGGCAGTTCTTTTAAAATCGAAAACTGGAGTTATGTCAGGATTTATAATAAGTCCTTTGAGTAGTACCAAAAACCTAATGGCACTCAATGTAGTTCTGGACTTACGACCACAAGTCCAAAATTTCCAATGCTAAGCAAGACAGTTGTTAAGTGAATTTTGCACCATTGTACAACATATCTTGCCACAGTAAATGAATCACTGAAGTCGTTAAGATAATTAACATGGTTAAGTGTACCTGGTTTCCCCATTGACCTTGCTGGTCAGAAGGTTGCAAAATGTGATCACATGACCCCAGGACACTGCAACAGTCATAAATACATGCCAGTTGCCAAGAGTCCAAATTCTGATCAAATAAATGGAGGTGCTTCAATGGTCATATGAAAAATGGTCATAAGTCATTTTTTTCAGTGCCGTTGTAACTTCAGAAGTGACTAAATAAATAGTTGTAAGTTGAGGCCTACCTGTACACAAGCTGAGCATAATTATGCTAAACTAGGTCTGGCCTATTTACAATTAGGCAACTGGAGATCTTGAGAAAACTAAAGTGCATTATAGTAATCTAGTAATCTTTCAAAGTCTATTCAAGGAATGGCTGTATCTGGTGCACACATCTGAGAATAAACCACATTTGAGTATAAGCTCTCTTCACCTGCTGCTTCACCAGATTGGTTTCATTTGGGCAACTGTAGCCCTATAAAAAACTGATATTGGGAAAGATTGAAGGCAAAAGGATAAAGTGATGATAGATGATGAGATGGTTCAATAGTGTCATTGATGCAATGAACATGAATTTCTGCAAACTCCAGGAGACAATGGAGGATAGGAGGGCTTGGAGAGCTGTGAACTATGTGGTCACATAGAGTCAGATATGATTTAGGCCAGGGGTGTCAAACTCAAGGCCTGGGAGCCAGAGCCGGCCCACAGGGTGCTTAGATCTGACCCGTGGGCTGCCATGGAAACAGTGAAGGACCGGCCCATGGTGCCTCTGTCAGCGAAAACGGCTGCCAATGGCCCCCCCGAGCTCCGTTTTCACTGGTAGAGGGTTGCAGGAGGCCATCACAGCCAAAAACACAGCTCGGGAGTCAATTTCCACTGGCAGAGTGCTCGGGCCACCACAGGCACCTACAAATGATGCCCTTGGCCATGCCTACCCCAGACCACCGAGGTCAAACACAACCCTGATGTGGCCCTTAATGAAATTGAATTTGACACCCCTAATTTAGGTAGCTGAACAACATCAACAACTAATCCCTGTCAAAAATTAAAGAATACACTAAAGATACAGTAGATCTAGTACTTTCTGATTAACCAAAGCATACTCAATGTCTTCTTTGGCTTATGTAAGACCAATTAGTTCTGAGGTCAGGGGACATACAGGCATTGATTAATGGGGATATAGAATGGCACAGTTTGCAGGCCTTCAGACTGAGAGGCCTGAAGATTGATGGGATAGTCTAGTGTTTCTAAGTGTCAGCGACTTAAATATCTTAAAGCTGCTGAAACTAAGAAACATTGACTTACAGGCTCTCTACTGGTGGTGCAGAGTAAAATAGGCCAATGTTTTCAACTATTCACTCCATATTCACAGCCGTCAATATATCCATTTGGAAAATGAAGAGCCTTGGCACACCCCAACTACATTTTTAAAAACCACATCATAAATATATGGACGTATGGGGAGTGGTTTCTATATACCCTATATACCAATGCCTGCATCTCAAATGATCCATCTGTTAAAATACTGAAGTTTGCAGATGATACAACAGTGATTGGTCTCATTCGAGACGATGAATCTGCATACAGACGGGAGGTTATACAACTTGCCTCGTGGTGTAACTGAAACAATCTGGAACTG